GACTGCCTTCGGCTCAGGTCATGATCCTGGAGTCCCAGGATCGAGTCCCGCATCGGGCTCCCTGTCAACAGGGAGTCTGCTTCTCCCTCTGACCCTCCCGCCTCTCATGCGCTCTCTCATTCTCTCTCTCAAATAAATAAAATCTTTAAAAAAAAAAAAAAGTACCAACACAAGCTTTTATCGGTCTCAAAATAAAAAAGCTCACACGAGTATTTCCTATGAAACTTCATGAAAATATTCAATTACTTAGAATTAGTTTGCTATAAACCTTAAGTTGTAGATACTATTAAAAAAAAAAAAACCCACAAAAACACAAAAAACCTTTGGAAGGAGGGCAATGTACTACAATCCCAGAATGAAAAGTATACTTCAAATTCTTGGTAAGCTGCCAGTATAGTCCTCTACTTATTTAAGATGAATAACATTAAGTATCAATCAGTAGGCACAGGAATTATAAAATATAACTGGAATTTTAAAGACCTGCAAAATATGTGCCATAGGCTTAACAAAAATATTAAGCTTAGAAAGTCTCATTTTTAAGAAGTGAATTAGGGGGGGCCCTGCCCGGCTCAGTCAGTAGAACATGCGACTCCTGAACCTTCTCTTTATTATTATTATTCCAATCTACACAATTTTAACTCAAAAGATATCCCGTTTGAACAGTGAGGACATATTTGATAAAATCAAGACATCGTTATTAATTTTTCTGGGTGAATGGTATCATAGTTACTGTTTTTAAAAAGAATCCTTATTGTTTAGAGATACATACTAAAATATGTACAGATGAAATTATAAATGATGGGATTTGCTTTAAAAAAGGATAGAGAGGTGGGGAACAAGAACATAGGTAAGGAATACCATGTAAAGGCCATGAGCTAAAAATGAGTCAAACTAAGAAATATGAACATGGGGGTTTCATTACACCTTTTTTATTTACATTTGAACTTGTCCATAATAAAAAATTTTAAAAGAGGGGCACCTGGGTGGCTCAGCCCGTTAAGCATCCAACTCTTAATTTAGGCTTAGGTCATGATCTCAGGGTCCTGAGATCAAACCCTGCATGGGGCTTGTGCTGAGCATGGAACCTGCTTAAGATTCTCTCTCTCCCTCTCCCTCTGCCCCTCCCCACCCCACCAGTGGTGTGCACACTCTCTCTCAAAAATAAATAAATAAATAAAATTAAAATTAAAAAAGAAAGAAGAAATATTCTATAAATCAATCACTCTCACATAAACATGCATCTGTGTGTTAAAAGCTGACACGTAGTTTTAAAAAATAATTTCCAAAATGTTACAGCAATACTTTGTTATTATCAATGACAGACAAAGTTAAAAAATAGCTGCTTTAAAACTGCTTAAAAACCTTTATGCGTGCAGTTATAACCCAAAAATGCAATGCAAACTTCTAAAGAACTTACTTGGTGTGAAAGCAAATCTGTGCTTGCATAATTCACAGTATTCTTTTCGACTGTGTTTCAGCCACTGAACTAAGCTGCAATCACAAACACATTCATAAGTGCAGTATTTACAACAAAGAAATTTTAAGGCTTCACTGAAAACCAGTGTTCTGTTTTATTAAAATTTAACATATCATGGAGCTTTTATAATTGTGACAGTTTCATATTTACAATACTCTTTTTGACTTTTTATAATTTAAAGCCTTCTGAAAGTACAGAACTATAACAGATAAAAACAATATGTATTTTTACTATTAAAAAAGTTCAATTAACTAAATTGTAATCTCCTCAAGGCTAACCTCAACTATGAAAGAATCTCCAAGCATCACATCAGTTCTAACACTGGTCTGATAATACTGCTACCCTGGGTAGCTCGGTCTCAATCCTGGTTGTCACTAAGTGGTTGGCTGTGTACCCAGAACAAGTTACTTTAACATTTCTATGCTCGTTTCCCCATCTGCATAATAATAAAAATATTCCACCTCATGGTTCTAAGGATTAAATGAGTTAAGATGTATAAAAGCAATGAGCACCACCTGGCACAAAGCATCACATAAATGTAAGCTATTATCATGCCAAGCAGAATCAGAGAACCTTAACACTTCCAATGAACAAAATAAGCTCTCCATGGTAGAAATGAACAAACAGGTATCACATGCACCCGGAAAACAATAATACCAAAATGACAAGGAATGGTAATAAGGAATATGGGTAATTTCCAAATTTTCACAAAATTAAAAAAAAAAAACTATTTCAGAGAAAGTTCATTGAAACAATCCCCCTTATTATACAAATGACAAAACTGAAGCTCAGACATAAAATATTCTAAAAGGATGACTCACCATTCTTGATGGATAAACTTAATACTGCCCGTACATACACAAGGATGATAAAGAGGTTTCTCAGGTGTTCCTTCTGACCGACACACTCTACATATGTCTGTGAATGAAAAAGATAAATTGAGTTATCTTTGATTATAACTTAAAAAAAAAAACCAGAACCCCCAAACAAAAATAATGTGTTAAAGCAAGACTCCATCAGCAGCAGAGAAGTGTTATTATGATAATAAAGTATATTCCAAAACCAAAAAATTTCCTAATATATAAAAAGGCCAGTTGTTCCTTTCAATGAGAACTGTACTCATTAAACTGCACGCTTCCATAACTAATGCTAAGTAGAAATACACAAAATCAGGTCACCACTGGTATCCTCAGAGTTTACAGTTTAAAGTCCTAAGTCCAGTCCTAACAGTTTAAACTCCACAAAAACACATCCAAGGACTTAACAGCAGTGGGCAGCATAGGAGACACCCCTTTAGCTTCACCTCACTCCACCAGAGACATAGAGATACACACAAATAGGGTGAGGGGGCACCCCAAAACCACAAAGGTGCCAGGCAGAGAGAGGTGAGACAGAGGTCACCTTAAGCAGAAGCTACCAGAGCCCAGCACTACCTGGTGGGAGGCCAGAGGCAAGAGCTCACCCTTTACTCCTCCCCACATGGTTCTGAGCACATCTGTCCACCTTCTTGCCTGGGGTGGCCCGTGATATGTTGAGGAAGAACCTCAAATGCCAAGAACCATCCCATTCACAGGCTCCATAATGCTCCCTCTGAAGGACAACCTATGACACCTGGTTGCAACTTTTATTTAGACCTTCTTCTCTGTGATCTGCAAGGCGAAGTGCCCACCCCAAGTGGGCAATCTGAAGGACGACAAGCGGTGTGTACTAGAGACAGGGACTTAAGGAAAACTTTTGATCTAGTCTCTCAACAGAGTTCCTCATTCATGGGGAATAACTGCAATCCAAGCCCATCATTAATGGATTTAACCAGTCCCCAGCACCCGCTGGGACTAGGGTGCACACACACTGAGCAATGGGGAACTTGGCCCCCAACGTTAAAAAGCACTGTGTTGCTCAATCTAGTATGGCTGAGCACCACTTACCAAAGTTGAGGGATAATGAGTACTCAGGCTGGCTAACTGGTTAGCGCACTAATCCCCGTAGTTATCGATAAGCTAGGCAAATCACTGCCGACACAGAAAGGCCATACACCACCACCCACAGAAGAGCTTTTGCTGTGCCAGTTCCACCTACACGAGAGCCAGAAAGGGTTGTCCAGGTTGAGTCAAATCAAGCACATGCTCCAGGGCTGTGTCTTTCAGTTAGCTTTAGAACCACACCACCCCCCGCCCCACTACCACCACCCGAAGGACTTTGGTTTCCTGGAAGCGACCTGAGGGTCATGAGAACAATGCTGGCTGTTGAAATAATTTATGGTCAGAACTACACGGGATCCAAGCCTCTTCAAACCTCCCACTTTCACCTTCATCCTTGATTAATGAAAGCATCTTTGGCAAAAGCTTTCTCTCTGGTCCGTCTTGCACCAGTCTAAGACTCTGGGCTCTGGCAAAGCAGTATGAACATCCCAACAATCCTGCCTAACCAGCCTCTGCGAAGTTCTGACACAAACAAAATAGAACTACACTAGAATTCTATGATTCCCAGGGCAGTATCCTGGCAGCTCGATCTGCTTTGAGCACTCTAATTTTCTCCAAATGTACACTTCAGCCTAGGGAAACTGGGCTAAGAGCCCGGAGCTCACCCAAGGGGGGTGGGGAAGACCTGGAAGGACCATCCCCCCGTGGTGGACCTGCTGCTTCCCACATGGGCGATCCAACATCAAGCTAGTATTTTAACTGCACTGAATTCAATACCTGCACTGGAGCTGAGATTACCACAGTGGCCAGCAACCGGACTTGCCCTGCAATGGATCCTCCTTAAAGGATTCAAAATGGACTCACTGAAATATAGGCTCTCAAAAGAGTCCAGTGTTATTTTTCATCACTGCTCTCCCAGGTCTCAAGTAGGTAATCTGCACATCTGCTGCCTTGCTTGGTTGTTGAAGTCGATCATCAAGCTCCCTTTATGGTACCGAACCTGGATTCCTGGTCACCATGGCTGCCACTGTAGGCACTAGGACTTCTACCTAAAACAGCTGACAGGTCCATGGGACATGCAACTGATGAGGTTATCTAGAATCACTAGAGCTGCTGGTGCCTGTGGGCATCAATTAGTCCCACAATTACCACAGTTATCCAGGTAGGAGCGGCACAAGCACTTAAAGCCATTTGGAACATGACCACACCAGCCTCAAGTGCTAGGATGCCTGTGGATTAACTTTAAAGACAGGCATGTGCTACAGAGGGATTAACCAGGTAGGATGGTTTGGGTGCAAATGTGGGTGAGCCGGTGCAGACAAAGGGTGAAGCAGTCCCACACTGTCCTGTCTCCGCAGCCAGCTCTCAGGCAGCTGCAGAAGTAGGGCACAGCAGCGAAAGCGTGGCAAGGAGTATCCTGCATCGGGACACAGTGTAGAGGAAAGCAGCAGAGACACTGCCACGCTCACACAAATGAGGGTCGCTATGTTGCCCTCCAGAAACAAGTGACCGACTGGGCAAGGGCTGCCCTTGCTGGCACACTGCTGCCAACAAGATGCAGGGACAGTGGGGGATATCCACGAGTGTGAACGGTTGATGCCAGTGGGCTCGTCCTGTGATGGGGCCCATCCCCACGTGGGTGGCCCAGCCCCAGGTGGCACAAGGGAGCTATGGGGAGGACCATGCAGAAGGCACAGTGCGGGGGCGGGGGGAGCATGTGCATGAGACACTGATCTTCAGAAAACCACGTTCAACGACAAACCAACACTAAAAACTAAGCAAGCACAACAAATCTAAACCAACTCCAGGGCCCTGCTTAACAGAGTAGAGAGTACTGGACTCATCCACCTCTGTAAGGTTGAAACCATTTTCACTGTAACACTAAGACTTTGCCTTTTACCCTCATTGTCTTGCCAGGATACAGTGGAGTTTTCCAGAGGCTACATAACACAACTGACTGAATGCAGCCAAGATGAAAAAAATCCGCCAGCCTCCCATTAAATCAGACATTTAAGAGATTTGCAAATATAAAACAAATCCACTCTTCTCACCAATATTTTGGGTTTGAAGCATGTAGTTATTTCTTTGAAAAAAAATATTAACATATAACAGGTGTGTTAAGTGAATTAATACTTCCAAATTTTGTTTCATTTTCTAAGGGCAAACGAAAGCTCTTATGAGTCTTTATGTTTTTTAAGAGCAGGCCAAAAAAAGTTAAGAACTACTATTTTTTTTTTTTGCTCGTGAAACTTTTGAAAAAAATCAGAGAATAACTATGGTTCTCTCAAAATACACAAATAGACAAAATTTTCATTATTTTTTAAGGAGTTTCATAAGCCTCCACTGATTCTACAAAAGAAAGGGAAGGGAATATTAGACTTCTCAAATGCCTTGTTTTAGAACCATGGAAATTTTTTTACATAATCCAAAACAAAATTATAGCAAAATGGAAAATAAGCAACCCCTAAATCAAAAACAAATTACACAAATGAAACATATATATGTGTGTATATATGATAAATAGATTTCAAGTTTAACCACAGAAAAGATTTACTTTAGAGACTTTAAAACAGTAATATGATCATATATCCCTAGTAGGCTATATCCTAAGACAGAAAGAACTGCATTAAATCCTAAACAGAATTCAGTAATCATGGTGTGAAGAGCAATAACATTGATAATTTTAAAACTTGGGAGGATAAAGCCGGTAAGTAGTATGATGGTGGTATTGTGGTTGTGTGTACGTGTTTTTTAAGTTATCTCTCAGAATACATAAGAATTTACAGATGAAAACATTTTATATCTGGGATGTGCTTTAAAATGAGATGGGAAAGGGTTGAGATGAAAGAATTATCAGCCATATGCTTTATCTGCTGAATCTAGATGCTGGTTATTGGAGGTTATTGCATTAGTCTATTTCATTTTTAAAATTTTACATAATAGGGGCACCTAGCTGGCTCAGCTGGTGGAGCATGCAACTCTTGGGTCTCAGGGTTGTGAGTTCAAGCCTCACACTGGGTGTAGAAATTACTAAAAATAAAATCTTTTTTTTTTTTTTTAGATTTATTTATTTGACAGAGAGAGACAGTGAGAGAGGAAACACAAGCAGGGGGAGTGGGAGAGGGAGGAGCAGGCTCCCTGCTCGGATGTAGGGCTCTATCCCAGGACCCTGGGATCATGACCTGAGCTGGAGGCAGACGCTTAACGACTGAGCCTCCCAGGTGCCCCAAAAAATAAAATCTTTAAAATGGGGAAACATCCCATGCTCATGGATTGTAAGAACAAATATTGTTAAAATGTCTATGCTACCCAAAGCAATCTACACATTCAATGCAATCCCTATCAAAATATCATCAACGTTTGCTGGAACAAACAATACTAAAATTTGTATGGAACCACAAAAGACCCCGAATAGTCAAAGCAATCCTGAAAAAGAAAACAAAAGCTGGAGGCATCACATTCCAGACTTCAGGCTGTATTACAAAGCTGTACCTCAAGAGAGTATGGTATTAGCACATAGATCAATGGAAGAGAATAGAAACCCCAGAAATGGACCCTCAACTCTGGTCCACTAATCTTCGACAAAGCAGGAAATACCCAACGGAAAAAAGTCTCTTCAAGAAATGGTGTTGGAAAAATTGGATGGCCACATGCAGAAGAATGAAACTGGACCACTTTTTTTTTTTTTACACCACAGACAAAAATAAACTCAAAATGGATGAAAGACCTAAATGTGACACAGGAATCCATCAAAATCCTAGAGGAGAACAAGAACACAGGCAGCAACCTCTTTGACCTCAGCCACAGCAACTTCTTACTAGACACGTGAAAGCAAAAATGAACTATGGGGACTTCATCAAGATAAAAAGCTTTTGCACAGCGAAGGAAACAGTCGACAAAACTAAAAGACTACCTACCAAATGGGAGAAGATATTTGCAAATGCCTTTAGATAAAGGGCTAGTATCCAAAACCTATGAAGAATTTATCAAACTCAACACCCAAAAAACAAAAAAATCTAGTCAAGAAATGGGCAGAAGACATGAGCAGACATTTCTCCAAAGAAGACATACAAACGACCAACAGACACATGAAAAAACGTTCAACATCACTCAGCATCAGGGAAATACAAATCAAAACCACAGTGAGATATCACATCACACCAGTCAGAACGGCAAAAATTAACAACTCAGGAAACAACAGATGTTGGCAAGAATGTGGAGAAAGGGGAACCCTCTTACACTATTGGTGGGAATGCAAAGTGGTGCAGCTATTCTGGAAAACAGTATGAAAGTCCCTCAAAAAGTTAAAAATAGAGGTACCCTATGACCCAGCAATTGCACTACTAGGTATTTATCCAAAGGATACAAACACAGTGATTTGAAGGGGCACCTGCACCCCAATGTTTATAGCAGCAATGTCCACAAAAACCAAAATAAGGGAAGAGCCCAGATGTCCATCGACAGATGAATAGATAAAGAAGATATGGTATATATACACAATGGAAAATTACTCAGTCATCAAAAGAATGAAATCTTGCCATTTGCAACAACATGGATGGAACTAGAGGGTATTATGCTAAGCAAAATAAGTCAGAGAAAGACAAATACCATATGATTTCAGTCATGTGGAATGTAAGAAACAAAACAGTTGAACACAGAGGAAGGGAAGGAAAAATAAAATGAAATCAGAGAGGGAGACAGACCATAAGAGACTCTTAACTCTACAGAACAAACAGGGTTGCTGGAGGGGCAGTGGGTGGGGGGATGAGGTAAATAAGTGATGGGAATTAAGGAGAGCACGAGACATAAAGAGCACTGGGTGTAATATGCAACTGATGAATCACTAAATTCTACCCCTGAAAATCAAACAATCAAACCAAATCTTTAGGTAGGGGCGCCTGGGTGACTGAGTAGATTAAGTGTCCAACTCTTGATTTCAGCTCAGGTCAAGATCTCAGGGTCATGAGATCCAGCCCTGCATCCAGCTCCACACTAAGCATGGAACCTGTTTAAGATTGTCTCTCTCCCTCTTCCTCTCCCTCTACCCCCCTTCCCGGCTCGCACGTGCGTGCTTTTTCTCTAAACTAAATAAATAAGATCTTAAAAAAATAAAATTTTACATAAAACTTTTAAAAAAATAAACAATGGTTAAACATGCAATTTACAAATACCAAAGTTGAACTTTTATTGTACTGACACTACCAAGTCCAATTTTATCAATGAAGTTCTTCAGTAAGAAGGCTTAGCATGTGACTTATTTCATATGTGCATGCACGTACACACACACAAATTTGAAAACTCATGTTAGATTTTTATTTCACTGATCCTGTTTTTAAAAATGTGGTAAAACTTTCATTGGCTATATCTTCATTAGGGGAAGAAAGCAGAGTAAGATTTAAATAATACGTCTCAACATTCCTAAAAGCCTCTTTATGTACAACCAACAACCCAATTCCAATTTAAAACCATTTAATCTAAATGACTTTAAAATGGAATTTGGTCCAAAAATATAATTAATCTCTTTTGCAGTGCTGGCCCTGTTTTTCCCCACATCATGAAGATGTGACTGAGTTTTGTTCAAAGGCACCTCATGTATAAATATTACCCTAAATGGAAAGGTGAAGATTGTTGGTATAAATAAACTAGAATGGTGATAAGCCCTAGCTATAAAATACTTGTAAGGTAAACATTTGGCTGTTTAGCAGGCCCCAATCCCTGCTTACCATGGCATAGTCATACCTTATTAGGAAACTGGAAGCGGAGAAAAGCTGCCAAAGTGAAAGACTGCACCTGCTCTCACTTTATATCCTCAACTAAATTTCCTTAGCTAGTCTGTGTGTGGACTAGGAAGGAATAGAAGCTTCTTCCCTGCCAATCCATGTTGCAGTAGAAAAATCTGAAACAAGGCATACGTATACAGAGCTAAACATTTTTTCTGCAAGGATACATAAACTATTAACAGTTGCTAACTTTGTGGATCAGTTTTGGGGGAAAATACACATATTTTATATATGTATGATGTCTACAGTATATATTTGTGTAGTATTTTGCTAATACCTTACTATTAAAATTAATAGTTTCCTTGTAAACTTATATTCAAAGACATGTACAAGAACATTCACAGCACCACTATTTCATAAAAATACCTCCAAAACAGGGGCGCCTGGGTGGCTCAGTCAGCTGAGTGTCCCGACTCTTGATCTCAGCTCAGGTCTTAATCTCAGGGTTGTGGGTTCAGGCCCTGCATTGGGCTCCACCTCCAAAATGGAAACTACTAAACTGTCTATCAACAGCAGAATGGATGAATTTTGGTATATTCACATAACTATGATATGGCAATAAGAATAAACCAGCCAACTAAAACTACAACCACGATTTGGATTTATTGCATAGTGGTGTTTAGTGATAACTCACACCCACACACAAAAAGAACTCAGACACAAAGAATACCTAATCCACATGTAAAAAGTTCACAAACAGGAAAAACTAACATTTATTAGAAGTCACCATAGTAGTTACCTCTAGAGGAAAGAGGCAGTCAAGACTACAAGAGGACTGAAGGGAATGGCCCAGATGAAATCGACACACTTCTCCCTATACCTCCTGCCAAGTACAGCTAAAAGTCCAGGACATTTTTTTTTTTTTAAGATTTTTTTTTATTTATTTGACAGAGAGAGACACAGAGAGGGAACACAAGCAGGGGGAGGGGGAGAGGGAGAAGCAGGCTTCCTGCCAAGCAGGGAGCCCGATGCGGGGCTCGATCCCAGGACTCTGGGATCATGACCTGAGCCGAAGGCAGACGCTCAATGACTGAGCCACCCAGGCGCCCCAGCCCAGGACATTAAACATAAATAAACAGAAGATGACTCTAAAAAGTGAAGAAAAGGCAGAGCAGCAAGGGAACTGGTGACCCAAGGAATCACATCCAGTGAGTTCTCTGGGTTTGTGTTTTGCTTCATGTATCCGAGGGACTGGTGGTGGAGGTGGAGAAGCTGACAATCTGAAAACATCAATGGGAAAAGACAAACTTACCCCAAAAAAGCCAAAGACCAGGAAAGATGCAACCTAGCAAGAGGAAAATTTTTAGGCAATAAATGCCTCTGTACCCCAGCCAAACACCACGGGAAGAAATGCAGCCCTGGGCACCTGGATGGCTCAGTCGTTAAGCATCTGCCTTCAGCTCAGGTCATGATCCCAGGACCCTGGGATTGAGCCCCGCATCGGGCTCCCTGCTCCGCAGGAAGCCTGCTTCTCCCTCTCCCACTCCCCCTGCTTGTGTTCCCTCTCTCACTGTGTCTCTGTCAAATAAATAAATAAAATCTTTAAAGAAAAAAAAATGTGGCCCCAACACCACCTCTAGCAGCCAAGGCCGAGAGGGAAGCAGACCTAGATTAGCTAACTCTATTTTAGTTACTGAGGCCCAACTAAATTATCACGCAAGTTAACGACGAAATGAGCATTAAAACATAACCACCAATTACAAGAGTATTCCCTTTGACTTGCTCATTCTTTCAACTCGGTTGTATGATCTTTTCGTGAATGTTTTATTTTTTTCACAATTTAATGTCAATATTCTATACATACTTTCTATCTACTCCAACTTTGTTGTATTCTTCCATTTGTATAGTAGGCTGCTCCCTCTGGCAAAACACATTACACCACTGAAATATAAAAATAAAATAACTAGATAGTACAGTAGCTAATGACTAGCGAAGCCAACATTTCCACATTTTACCAAGTTCTCTTTCTTTGTGAATTTTCTAAGTCCTTTGTCCAGCTTACTAACTAGGGTCTTAACACTAAGAAAGCAGTCCAAAAAAAAAAAAAAAAAAAATTCAGCAAAAGATTTGAACAGATACTTCACCAAAGAAGGTATACAAATGAAAAAATGCTGAGGTCATTAGCAAAGTGCAAGTTAAAATCACAAGAGGATGGTGATGGTTGCACAAGAGTGTGACTATATTTAATGCCAGTGAATTGTACACTTAAAAATGGTTAGAATGGTAAATTTTGTTATGTATATTTTACCACAAAAGAATTTTAAATCACAGTACAATACCACTACATACTGATTAAAATGACAAAAAGAAAAAAAACTCTTACCATATGATGCAGCAATCATATTCCTAGATATTTAACTTAGTAAAATGAAAACTTATGCTTGTACAAAAACCCATATGAATTTGGATAATGGCTTCATTCATAATTTCCTCAAAATGGAAACCAATCAAAGCATTCCACAACTGGAGGATAAACTGTGATACAGTCAATATTCTTTTCTACAACAGAATACTATTAAGCAATAAAAAGGAATGAAATACTGATATATACAACATGAATAAATCTCAAATGCATTATATGTTAAACAAAAGAAGCCAGACTGAAAAAGCTACATACTAGATGATTCCATTTATAACATCTGGAAAAGGTAAAACTACAAAGACAGAAATACATCAGTGGCTGCCAGGGTCTGGGAGTGGGATTGATCATAAAAGGGAACAGGGATATTTGAGAGGAGGGCTGAATTAGTCCATCCCTTGAATATGCTGGCTACATGACTGTATGCATTTGTCAAAAATTCATGGGCACTACCGTCGATAGATGAATAAAGGATATATATACATGTGATGTATATACATATATAAATATATGTGTGTGTGTATACACACATACACAATGAAATATTATTCAGCCATAAAAAAGAATAAAATCTTGCCATTTGTAACCACATGGATGGAGCTAGAGAGTATAATGCTAAACAAAATAAGTCAAAGACAAATACTGTATGATTTCACTTGTATGTGGAATTTAAGAAACAAAACAAATGAATGGAGGAAAAAAAAAAAGAGACAAACTAAAAAAACAGACTCTTAACTACAGAATAAACAGATGGTTACCAGAGGAGAGGTGGGTGGGGTAATGGGTGAAATAGGTGAAGGGGATTAAGAGTACACTTATCCTGATGAGCACTGAGTAATATATGGAACTGCTGAATCATTATATTGTGTATCTGAAACTAATGTAATACTGCACTGGAATTAAAATAAAAAATTAAACTATCCCAGACCAAAACAAAACAAAAACCTCATGAACATTAAATAAGGTAAGTTTTACTGTGTTTATATTATACTTTAATTTTAAAAAAGACTTCCTACAGTACTGTCTAAATAGACATATGAGAAGAACAAAGGAGAAAGGATAATGACATGAAAAGAAATTATTGTTCCTTCACTAATGAAGTTGTATACTGAAATGTATCCCAACAAGCCCATTAATTTCATCCAGCCAGATAAGAATTAATGCTGTCAGGGACTGTGGAGGAAATCATCAGCATTGGACATCAAGTATTTCTGGCATTCCATTTTCTGGATAAATAGTAGGACTGTACCTCCCTGCCACCTCTGAAATTAGACACGGACATGTGACTTGCTTCAGTCAATGAAATATAAGCTACAGTGATGTGTATCACTCCTGGGGAGAAAATCTGGGGGAGCTAATGGACACAATACATCACACTGCATTTTCCTGCCTCAATGATTGTGGAAGCACACCCTAGGAGCCTCCATCAATCTAGGTCTCCAAGTGACTACAGTTAGCAGGAGCATCTCCCCCCACCCTGTGGTAGACATAATATTCAGTGAGAAAGGAACCTTTTGTTGCTTTAAGCTGCTGAGGTTTGAAGGTAGTTCGTGACAAAGACAAATTAGCCTATCCTGTTTCATAAAGGGTCTCAGCACCTTGGGGCGGGGAGGGACTAAAACAAGCACAACTACCACCAATACAGAAAGTCAATGAAAGAATAAACCTATCTTGGGGCGCCTGGGTGGCTCAGTCGTTAAGCGTCTGCCTTTGGCTCAGGTCATGATCCCAGGGTCCTGGGATCGAGCCCCACATCGGGCTCCCTGCTCCGCGGGGCGCCTGCTTCTCTCTCTCCCACTCTCCCTGCTTATGTTTCCTCTCTCGCTGTGTCTCTGTCAAATAAATAAATAAAATCTTTAAAAAAAAAAAAAAGGATAAACCTATCTTGTATATGAAGACCAATCCCACCACCCAAAACCCCAACAGAGTAATATGACCAAGGTTATAAAAGGAAATGTCTACAAAAGGCGCAGCCTGGGGCCCTTTACTAAAGCTGAAATAATAAAGTTTTACGGTAGAATAAAATTCCCGCCAGATTTACATGCAGTAAAATTACAAATCTAGCTCAGGCCAAAATAAAAGCATTGCATTTGATTTGTTATGAATGCAAATCAACTCAGAAACAGCAAAGCAAAACTCTTCCCACTTTTCTTTTCTTTTTTTTCCCCTCCATCTCCCCAGGCTCTTCCTGCTTTTCAAAAGCAAATTTCTTCTGTTTAATCCTGTGGGAACTTTTGTTGCTTTATTTGAATACCTAATATCTTCACAAGGCATACCTTCTAAAAGTTCCTAGCACAGTGCCTAGCTCAATAAATATAAAGGTGGTTTTTTGTTTGTTTTAATGAAAAATCTCAAATCCTTAGTGACTGAGTATGGAGACTGCCCAGGAAATGAGAGGGGGGGAGAAAAGAACAACCAGTAAGAGTAGGTTCTCAAGTTGGAACCAGCTGCTGAAGTCAACACCCATGTTGGCTTGGCTCATGCCATCAGTTTTTCTAGCCAACAATTCAGCTCACCAAATATATCCTAAATACCAACTATGAAAAAAAGAAGAGGAAAACCCTAGAAGTTTTGGGTATATGTCATAATTTTTAGGTCATTATCTACCTTGAAACTTTTTCCACATTAGATTTCAAAGTGTCTGCACATTCCTTCTGGTAATTATCCTTCTGGTGATAATTCAATAAACAAAGGACTGTTAAATTATTAGTAGTAGACTTTTTCAGAACAATTTTACATTTACAGAAAATCTAAGATAGTGCAGTGTTCCCACACACACAGCACCCAGTATCCCCTATTATTAACATCTACATTAGCATGGTACTTTTGTTAAACTTAATGAGCCAATATTCACACATCATTAACTAAAATCCAGTTTATTCAGATTTCCTTAGTCTTCACCTAATGTCTTCTGTTGTTGCTCCAAAATCCACCTGACATTTAGTTGCATGTCTCCTTAGCTTGGCTAACACAGTTTCTCTTGGGTCTGGCAGTTTTTCAGGCTTTCCTTGTTTTTGATGACTTTGGTCATTTTAAGGAGTACTGGTCGGGTACCTTGCAGGATGCCCCCTATCAGAATTTGTCTCATGTTTCGCTCATGACTAGAATGGGGCTATGGCTTTGAGGGAAGAAAAGGAAAATGGCAAAGTGCCATTTTCATCACATCATATCAAGGGTACACCATTAACATGAATTATGACGGTTACTGTTGGCCTTGATTACTTTCGCTGAAGTAACAAAGGATTTTTAATATCTGATTACCAACAAAAATTTTTACAATTAATAACTATGATCACAGTAAGTAAATATTAAGAATATGTGACTGAAAAATATTACTCAAAATGTCTGTAAATAACCTACATACCCAAAACCAGGAGAATGGGTATCTAAATTGTGGTACATTCACTACATGGAACATGGAAAAATGCATAACGTTAAATACGCAAAGCAAAAATAAAAAATGAATAGAATACACACTGTACTTCCTACCTAGTACTTCCTACTAGATAAAAACATCAAAATAGAGCGCCTGGGTGGCTCAGTCGTTTAGCGTCCGCCTTCGGCTCAGGTCATGATCTCAGGGTCCTGGGATCAAGCCCCGCATGGGGCTCCCTGCTCAGTGGGAAGCCTGCTTCTCCCTCTCCCACTCCCCCTTCTTGTGTTCCCTCTCTCGCTGTGTTTCTCTCTGTCAAATAAATAAATAAAATCTTTTAAAAAAAACAAACAAAAAAACATCAAAATAGCCTAAAAGAGAAAATACGAAAAAAACAGCCATAATAATTGGTCAGATGAGAACATGGGTGATTTTCTTGCCTTCTTTCCCCAAAGTTTCTAATGCTTCATTGCTACTTTTACAATTACAAGAAAAAAAACTACCCATAAAAAAAAATATGCATGTGCTAATTAATTAGGCCTTGCAAACATAAAGCCCCAATTCTACATGTATCCCAAAGTTTAGGTATTTTCTTACCGCTCCAGATTACCCGTAATTACAAACTTAACATTCACTGTACTGTTGCTCCTGGAAGCCTGAAAACTACATGTTTTTGGCCTCTTTGCTGACTAGGCTTGAGTTGCACCGAATCAAGGAGAAGTACTTTTGTGCGAAAAGGTGAAGCCATTTTCTACTTCTGGCTCTAAAAACAGCAGTGGCAGCTAATTGCAGGTCTTTGAACTGCAGTAGTTACAGAGATCCTAGTGGTGATTCTTTTTTCTTTTCCAAGTTTTATTTCTTTAATCTCTACACCCAGCGTGGGGCTTGAACTCAAAAGCCGGAGATCAAGAGTCACATGCTCTTCCAACTGAGCCAGCCGGGCGCCCCCTGGCGGTGATTCGCGCGCCTCCCGCCCCGGAGCAGGGGACACCTGTCAGTTCAACAGCGCGGGCAGTGGCTCCAACACTTACAGGAAGGGTGTGCCAGCCATCAACTTAGTCACCCCAGTTCCAAATCTGTCCTTCAGTACCTGTCCAGTGGTAAGTCACTGAACTCAAAACATTTTTTGAAAAACAAATTTGTCAGTAGGAGGTACTGGAGGGACAATGCAGGAGGAAGTGGTTTTCTGGCTCCTGCTGCACTGTCAGTAGGTTTGTTATAATGACCACCTTTTCACAACCTTACTGATAAGAACCCAAGACACTCCAGGTCTTGTACCCAACAGGGTACCCAACTCCCCCCACGTGCCCATCCATTAACTTTGGCTCTCCTGCACCCTGAGGGGTTATTTCCTGCTAGCCCAGAAACTGTGGACTAGCTCTGGACAACTCCACACTCCTGCACTGATGTCTAAACCACAACTGTCAGGAGTGGCCCTACCTCTTCCAAGGCTGTCCCTACTTGGATACTCACCCTCTTGCTCAGGTACCCTTTACAGTATTCTTTACATCTCCATAGCTACCCTCTTACCGTAGAGCTTAGTAATTCAACTTCCTCTGGTTAATTTACAATGTGCTGTCTGTCTCTTCGCTAGATCAAGACAGAAAAAAAAACAAGATTTAAAGAAGAACCAATCGGAAGTTTTAGAACTAGAAAATACAGGGAGTGTGGGATCACTCCTGGACTTGAGCTCAACAGCAACGTTTGCCTCAAGAAAAAGTACTTTGTACAATTCTTTGGAGTTATCAGCCGAACTAGCTGTTTTTTTCCTCCCATGAAACACCATGTTTACCATGGCTAAAAAAACTGAAAAAACAAAGTTATTCAGACAGATCTGGGTATTCAAGCATTTTATCACTAAAGAATGAAGTGAGCCTAAGAGCCAAGGAAAACAACTGACGATATTTGTTGCCAATGATAAAAATCAAACTTTCAAGCAAAAATTAGGATTTTAGAAAACTTGTGATCACCACAATGAGCCTGACAGCTTCCCCAATACCTAAAAGGCTTTTCAAGATGAGACAGATAGTGATGTTAAGGAATGTAAGCTTTGATAATACACATGAAACGTGTCAACATTTGGAATGTCTACATAACTCAGTGATCAAGTATCCACCAAAACACCAACATGATGTTACAAAACCATGCATGAGTAAAAAAATAAGCCAATGGATTTTTAAAAATAGCTTTATTGGGGGAGCGCCTGGGTGGCTCAGGTCATGATCTCAGGGTCCTGGGATCGAGCCCCATGTGGGGCTCCCTGCTCAGCAAGGAGTCTGCTTCTCCCTCTCACTCTCCTCTGTGTGCGCACACTCTCTCTTTCTCTCTCAAAATCTTTTAAAAAATAGCTTCATTGGGGAATCACTGACATACAATAAAATGCACTTAAAGGGGTTACCACTTGATAAGTTTGTCAATGATAAAACTGTCATCACAATTGAGATAATGAACATATCCATCACCACCAAAATTAACTCAGGTCCCTTGATAATCTCTCCATCCCACCGTTCTCTCAGTCCCATTCCTAGGCAACCATCAATCTACATTCTAGTACTATGGATTAATTTGCATTTTCTAGAGTTCTATGTAAGTGGCACATACTGTGGCTTCTTTCACTTATTATTTTGAGATTCATGTATGTTGTATCAACAGTTCATTTCTTTTAGTCACAGACTCGTAATCCATTGTATAGGTGTATCACAATTTGTTTATTCATTCATCTGTTGATAGGCATTTGGGTTGGTTCAAGTGTCAGGATTTTACAATAAAACTGCTATATACATTCACATACAAGAGTTTGTATGCATTCATTTCTCTTAGTAAGTCCCTACCAGTACTATGGCTGGATCATATGTTAACTTTTTAAGAAACTGATACACTGATTTCCAAAGTGGTTGTACCACTTTACATTCCAGCAGCATATGAAAGTTACTGTTGTTCCACATTCTGACCAACATTTGGTATGGTCATACTTTATAATTTCATTCATTCTAATAGGTATGTAGTGATGTAGTTCTATTCTGCTAACAGCGTTATCGAAATACACATACTACAAAGCTCAACAACTAAAGTACACAATTCAAAGGCTTTTTATGTATTTACAGAGTGATGCAGCCGCTACCACAATCTAATTTTTTAACATCCTCATCATCCCAAAAAGAAACCTTGTAACTATTAACAGTCATTCCCCATTCTTTCTCTTTACATAGATTTGCCTATTTGAGCCATAATTTGGATCACATAAAATGTGGTGTTTCATGACCAGTTTCTTTCACTTAGCACAATGTTTATGAGGTTGAACCAAGTTATTATACATACCAGTATTTCATTCCTTTGTATTGCCAAATAATATTCCATTTTATAGGTATGTTACATTTTCTTATCCATTCATCAGTTGATACACAATGGGGTGTGAAGATATATTTTGAATTCTCCTAGGTATATACCTAGGAGTGGAAATGCTGGGTCATATGGCAACTTTGTAACACTATATCTTACATTCTCCCTAGCAATGAATGAAGGTTCCAATTTCTCCACATCCTTCTCCACTGAATATCTGTCCCTTTTGATTATAGTCATCCTAGTGGGTGTGAATTATTTCACTGTGGTTTTGATTTGCATTTACCTAATGACTAGTGATGCTCAGCATCTTTTCATATGCTTATTAGCCATATGCATATATTCTCTGGTGAAGTGTCCAAATCTTCGGGCCTGTCTTAAACTGTGTCATTCGTTTTCTTACTGAGTTGACTGTTTTATATACTCCAATAAGTCCTTTATCAGATATACATTTTGCAAACATTTTCTGTGGCCTGTCTTCATTCTCTTAACAGTGTCTTTCAAAGAGAAGTTGTGAATTTTGATGCCATCCAATTTATCAGTTTCTTCTTTTACAGATCATGCTTTTAATGTTGTATCTAAGAAATCTTAGCCTAACCCAAGATCACAAAGGTTTTCTCCTATATTTTCTTCTAAAAGTTTCGTAGTTAGCTTTTTCATTTAGGTCTAACATCCCTCTGAGTTAATTTTGGTATATGGTGAAAGGTATGGCTCGAAGTTCATTTTTTGCCTATGAAGAGTCAATTATTCCAGCACCATTTGTTGAAAAGCTATACTTTCTCCACTGAACTGCTGTTGTATCTACGTCAAAAATCAATTGTCCACATGTGTATGAGTCTATTTCTGGACTATCCTGAGCCATCAAACCAATGGATTTTAATTTAAGTTGATTTAATTTTTAAAAGGTGAGGTATATGCTTTCAGATATAATACCGCTTAAAGAAACTACCACTTGTCGAACTTTGGCATAGTATCAAAGGACATCAAAAATTACCTGAAAGTACCCCTCCCTTTTTCAAATTATCTGTGTGAAGTCCAATCTTCTTCATACACTTTAACCAAAACATATCGCTAGAGTAACTGCAGGGGCAGAGATGTGAATCTGTCTTCTAACAATTCAGACAAAAAAGATTTGCAAAAAATTGAAACAATGCTACTTTTCTCACTGAAGTTTGTGTCTTGGAAAATACATTTATCATAAAGTTATTTTTGTTAACACGTACTGCATTTAAAGTTCTGTTTTTGGGCACCTGGGAGGCTCAGTTGGTTAAGCATCTGCCTTTCAGCTCCTGTCATTATCCCAGGGGAGTCCCGCATGGGATTCCCTGCTCAGCGGGGAGTCTGCTTCTCCTTCTGCCCCCCTCCCCATCTCTCAT